GAACCGAGGGAAACTGAGCACCTCCTATATCATTCCCCTCTCAGAGATCCATTCCTTTGATCTTAAGTGAAGCTGAGGGATGCAGGTCTGTCTTTGGTAGCTGCTTCAGGCTGACTGTGGACCATAGGCCATGCCTATCTGTGAGTAGAAATCTCTAACTTCCTGATCTAGAGGCCCCAGCTCCGTTTTAGGTGGTTGGGTCAGTACAAGGTAGAAGCTGCATAGAGCCATCATCTTTATGTGAAATTGTTGAAGTCTAGAACAGATGAATTTAATAAGAAGGTTAAAATACAGGGACCCAAAATCAAAAGCAACAGAAGAGAAACTAGTGGTCTTAACAAGGGTAAAAACCAAGTAACTAAGGGTAGGTAATTCTTCACAGATTGCCAGATGCTATGAGAGTTCGGATTACAGAACTCATGTTACCAGGTGGCTTGTTCGTATATACTTTTTACATCTTTTTCTACTCGGCTTGAAGTGCTTATGTATGTGCCACAAGTCATTTATCACAGCCATACTCCCCCTTGTTCTCAGCTAGAAGATAATCTAGGGCCAAATGATTATCCAGGACACCACCAGCTAATGAGCCCAGGGATGCCTGTAGTTTTTGTATGGCATCCCCAGTCGTCTGGGCTAAATCTGCTACTATGTCAGTCAAATTCCTTAGAGTAGATACTGCCTTGGGAATGTCATATCCTTCCCACAGGCACGTACATTTTTCGTACCTGAAGTCCCCTTGTTGGCGGTGTTTTTAAAAAGGCACCTATGGGTGTCATTTGGGATACTAGAATTTGAGAATGGATGTTCATTTTCATTACCATGACCAAAGTTTGTAGAACCAACACAAATAAAATAAGTCTTTACCAAGAGGTGAGGGTCTGGCAAAATAGAATACAACAGTCCATGTTATTAGGAAAACCAGTAGACCTAGACTTATCCACCACATTACTTATCTGGTTGTGAGTTTTCTTAGAATATTTTCCCTTCTGAATAGATATTTGAGGTCTTCCACAGATTCACATGAGTAGGTAAAGTTGTCATTGGTGCCTGCTGGGGTTCTTGTAAGGACTCATGAGACTGGCTTTACTAGATTCACCTCCATGACCTCTGACTGGTTCAAAACTGTATATCCTATCTTTTGGTTCCCATTCAAAGACAATTTATCTTAAGATACTGTAAATGATGCTAATTTTTTTCTATTTGAAATGTGAAAGTTGTGCTATAACAAATCATCCCATCGGTTGTAACCAATGTCCACTTAGTTGAACTTCTGGGGTGAACAATGTATGTTTAAACCCATTCTCACCATACCCGGTGCGACATATCCAACTCAACTGTGAGAAGACATATTACATATCCCCTTACTGCTGATTACATGGCCTGGGGTCTCTGCTTTTTCCCCTGTCCCCTCAACAGTGAGCATCTGTTCCTTCAAATGTTCCTGGTCTTGGAACTTTGAACTTTGTCAATGCCTCCACACCTGGAGATCTTCCACTGCCACCCACTCCAGACCAGACATATTCTGCTGGAGCAGAAACCCAGCCTCAGAGAGACCCCCTACCTTGTATACCAGGTGATTGTTCACCCAGGAACAAACTGCCTCTGTCCTCTCTAGCCATTTTGTGGACTCATAGCGGCCCCATGCCCTAGTGACCCTTAAACAAGAAGAGGATTAACTAACCAGCACTCACTTCCATTTTCATTGCCCTCACAAGTGGAGCTCAGAGCGGATGTGCTTAGCTCAGGAGCACATTCAGTCTGGATGCCGTCATGAATATGAATAACAGCCCATTTGCAGATCCAGAGTATGAGCACCCCAAAATCACACCTTCCTCATTTGCCAAAGCCACTTATTCTTTGGCTGCCAGATCCCTTCCTGTGCGAAAACTGCCACCTGGGGAGCAGTGTGAAAATGAGGGAGGCACAGAACTTATGGTTCGTTCCTCTAGCCTTCAAATGGCTTTTGGAGACAACCCAGAGTTCACAAGCATGTGGTTGTGACCAGTGGATTGATAGCTGTACATATGAAGCACTGCATAAGAGTCAGTACCAGGTGCCACCTGTCATTGAGAACAGCACCTTTGGGGAAGGGAATTTGGCCATAGCCCATGCCAACGCTGATCTCAAGGAATCAGAAAATGTGGGAAGATGGATATGATGTCCCCAAGCCACCCATGCTAGCAGTGTTGGCCCACTGAACTTCCTTGGATAATTCTAATGCCAGCTCCTCCTTTGGCTAGTGATCTCTAGTTGGTGATACCACAACAAACTTAGCAGGAGAGCTAATGCCCCCTTCAGAGATTTGGCCTGAACTACTTGTCAGGAAGTAGGATGAATAGAAGCTGGGATTGCCATGAAATGGCTCCTAATAGTGGGTCACCTAGAATGTCAGGGCGATGAGAGGGTTAATTTGTAATGAGACTATTTGACATGATGGAGGACACAGTTTTTGGTACCTGGCTGGAGTGGTTGGGAACAAGAACATTTGTTTATCTGTTGTCTTAAAGTTGATTGACAACAGGTGGCTTATTTAGAATTAACAAGCTATACACTAATTGATACATTGATAATTCTAAGAACTTACACCAGTCTTTTGCTTAGGAACTGGATGTCTGATCCATGTCATGACCCACCCACCCCCCATCCCCCAGCTGTGAATGCTTTTAGAGAACTGCTTCTGTAAAGAAGACATCATTTCCCCCTTTCTGATTAAATCATTCCTCATGAAAGCATCAATGATCAATTTTCTGATTGAACAGGTCTTACTTTTCTTTATACTGACCCTTCTATGTGCCGGGAAGGCTCATTCCCAGATATACTGATCCCATATTGGGGGGAAGATGAAATAGCAATTAGGACCAATAAGGGTAACATGCAGTGGGGTCAGGAACTTAGAAAGAAGTGCTATTTTTTATCCAATGTTTCCAATGGTATCCTGTCATAAAGAGAAGGCATATTTTTATTGATCTTACGCAAACAACCATAATGTCATAAAAATCATAAAGATACTCAGAAGAAGTTTTCAAATTTTGGAGGAATCAAATAAGGAGAAAAGCAAATGTTTCCATCTCTGTTCATAAATTGTGTATTTCCAAATTTCTGTGAATTTTAGATAGCTTAAGAGAGAAAGTTTCCTTGACTTTGGAAAACAAGACATTTACATTAAGGACCAACAATGAAAGTTACAAAACATTATGTTTATTAGTTACCCAACTTCACCCAATCAATATTTGTTTTGCTTGATCTTAGATAGCAGTTTCATAAGCCCATAAGTTTCTTATTAGAGTTCTGAAAAATTTTCACTTTCACAGACAGTGGACAAGACTAAAAATGACCATGATAAAATTTGGGCCGGCCTGGTGGCGCACTGCAGAGTGCGCCGCTTGGGAGCGTGCCGGCACTCCCGCCGAGGGTTCGGATCCCATGTGGAGACCGGTTCCCGCTCACTGGCTGAGCGTGGTGTGGGTGCAACGCCG